CTGTTTCATTTTGCAGGGGACTCTGCAAAGCCTGTACCAGCTGCAGGCCATTCTTTCTAGGCTTTGCATCCCCACATGCACTCTCCAGAGAGTCTGCTGTGCTCTGCCAACTGACAGGAGCTAGTCACTTGTGGGAGATTGGAGCTAAGAGCTTCCATCCTGCAAGGGGAAACAAACAACTTGAGATGTCCCATTCCATTTCGCTATCAGGTAAACAATGAAGTGAGGAGTAATTCTTATAAGGACGTCCCATGCAGTGTATGGGACACACGCTCAATGACTGCGTGTTGTTTAGCTGAAATTCAAGTGCAACTGTGTCTCCTGTCATTCATCAGTCTTCCTCCCCACCCCCACCGCCCTCCTTCTTCCTCAGTTCATCCCTTTCCTTCTTGCCTACTGGCCTGCCTACCTCTAATCATAGTACCCCTTCCTCAGGCCTGGCCCAGAGCCCACCATCTCCAGCCACACCTGTGCCTGCCCTACGCCCTTCCCTCCTGGCCTCGGGTGACAGCCACCATTTCTGCTGTTTTTAGTTGCATTTTTTTTTCTGTCATAAGAGCAATACTCGTTCATTACTGAAAAATCACAGGCTACAGATAAGCAGTAAGAGAAAAGGAAGAAAACAGTCAGAATCCCACCCACACAGAGAGGAGGACTGTGCCTACCTCGGGTAGATTTTTCTAGAGCTGTGTGTGTGTGTGTGTGTGTGTGTGTGTGTGTGTGTGTGTGTGTACTCATCTTTGCAGATATTTAAAAAGGAACATTAAACCAAGCACCCCAATCCAGACTCATTTGCTCTGGGGGTCTCCTGAAGGAGGAGCAGGTCCTCAGCCCCCCCCCCATGGGGAGGAACCAAGTTAAACCCTAGGAGTGGGGGATGACAAGCCTTGGTCAAAGGCCCTTCCAACCCTGGGGCTGCTGTGACAGGGTTGCCACAGTTGGGATAGGGTGGTGGTGGTCCTGCGGCTTTGGCTGGCTAATGGACCCATCTCACCATGTCCTTACATGGTCTTTCCTCTGTGTGCCTCTATCCTAATCTTAGGAGGACTGGATGAGGGCCCGCCCTAATGACCTCATTTTAACTTAATTCACTTCTTTCTAGGCCTCATCTCCAAATAAGGTCATGTTCTAATTGCAGGAGGTGAGGCCTTCAGTGTAGGAATGTAGAAGGTAACAGTTCAGGCCTGACCATCCTGGCTGGACACACTGGGCCTCGCTGTCTTCATCCAGAAAATGGGCTGCAATTATGTTCTTCAAGGTGACGAACCAGTAGGCCTCCGGAAGCGTTGTTTTTATGCCCACTCCTGAATAAATCCCCTCATGAGTGTCTCTAGCACATAGGCAAGGAGGGGGCCTGGCCTTTTGGTACCCACTGCCTACTCCTTTACCCATCTACATACTTTGTTTCCTTTAGGTCAACCCTAGAGCAGAGCGGCTGGGTGGAAATGGAGATGCCAGCTGCCCTGTGAGCCCAGGATCCCCCTGCCTGTGGTGGGTGGATGGGTATCCCTCCCCCAACTTAAGTTCTCCTCACAAGTGCCCATTTCCCTGTCTGAAGTTCCTGTCCTCAAAGGCTCAGGTGTAACAACAGGCTGGACCTCTTCCTGTGGCCTGTCCTCCTGCTAAGGGACACCCTCGCCCGCCCTCTGCAGTCCTGTAGAGGACATCTTGCTGTGTGGATGTATTCTCAAGCTTTCTTGGCTAAGCTTTTTCTCACAAGGATGCCAGCCCCTTCGTCCACACATTCTTGAGAGGACCCTTTGCCCTTATAGGGCAAGTGAGACCCCCCCCCCCACACACACTTTTAGGATCTCTTTAATAGCCTTCATTTCGTGCTCCCTGTTGGAGGCTGGATTGTACCTTAAGCCTGCCCTAGACCTCTGGGAATCCTGAGCAGCAAAGAGATGGGTGGATGAAGGGGACAGACAAAAACCTTGTGTTACCACTTCCCCCCCACCCCCAAAGTGCACGCGGATTTCAGCCTTTCTTGAGGACAGAGTGGAGTTCTGCCTCCTGGGGGAGGGGCATTTAGATGCCAGGATGGTTCCAGGCAGAGTCTGCAGGCGCAGACCTGCTCAGACCAGATGGATTGTCAGCGGAGGGAGCTGCTGGAGGGAAGGGCCTGAGAGAAGCATGTGGGGTGGGTGGGCGGTTATCAAACCCAGTTATGGAAGATACATCCCTGAGTGGCATGCACAGTAGTGGTTATCTGAAATGGACTCTGCAGGGAGCTGCCCCCGGCAGTTCACCGGTGCTGTCCTGGACCCCAGGGGAGGAGGTGAGACTCAGGTCAGGGCTCACAAGCACTTCCATTTTCGACTTTCCAAGAGTTGACTTCCTTGCATTTCACATCAGGGGCTCTCTCTCTCTCTCTCTCTCTCTCTCTCTCTCTCTCTCTCTCTCTCTCTCTCTCT